CGTCGTAATGCTATCAATGTGTACAGAACGGGACGGGGCAGCCTTCTACGTGACCTTCGTTCACCAGCTTCATGATCTTTCGCTTCGACATCACCGTGCCTTCCAAATTTAACCTTCCGTATTCCGTTTGTCGCGGTGTATAAACATTCAGCGCATGACACAGCCATTCGTAACTAACACGCGACTGGATAAATTCGGTCGTACAGAGTGAATGACTTTTAAACAAAGAAAAAGAAACCAAGTTTTTGTGAGCCGCAGGTCCGAAAGAGTCTTGGGGAGAACCACTAAGGATGAGAACTGACGAGATATTCTCAAAACTATCGACCAGACAATGGGTGAAATCATAAGTAGGATAAATTTTCCAATGGTCTCGAGTGCGATGGTGAGAGGCATTAAGGACCCGATAAGCAACGAGGTCCCACATCTGTGGATTGCCATCTTCCAGGTCCTGTTTCATCCGCAGGATGATCTCGTTCGGCTGATAATGGCCGTCTCTCATCTTCCGAAACTCTGCTAAGGAGGTCTCGACCGGCAAGGTGCGATGGACGCAGGCTTTTCGGGGACCTCGTTCTTCTCCTCCTCGGTTGGCTTTGATCTCCGCACCTGTGATATTTCAACCCCAAAGATAAAAAGAGCAGTAAGGAATGGGTGATAGATCGAACACAATCGAATAAAAAAGAAAATGAAAATGAAAATGACAAACCGGTACAAAAGCAGACATAAGCTTTATCAATCAGGATCAATTGCTCAGCCAACTCATAAAGTTTTCCAAAGTAATCAGAAGAGTAAGTGATTTGAGCGGGTTCGAAGCCGAGCCACCGGACGATATCGAGGATCGAGTCAATGTATATCTGTTCCTCCGCTTCTGGATTGGTGTCGTCGTATCTCAATATGCATTTTCCGCCATGGTGGGCCGCATATCCAAAGTTGATCGCTATCGCCTTGGAGTCTTTAAAAACATGGCATTCGAAAGAGAGAAAGGGAAAGAAGAATTGGGAAGGTCAAACAGATTATAATTAGGTTTTTTCATTTAAACACTTTTCTGATTGAACATCGAGACAATTGATCTGGAATTTTCTTACGTCCAATGTGAAGGAATCCTAAAGAGAGAATGTCAAGTTAGCTTAGTGAATCAAAGATGGAAGCAATCAAGGAACAAAGGAAATATACTGAAAGCTTACCATTGGGTTCTGGAGGGAAACGAGTGACGACTTTTCCGCCGGTAGTCTTCAGATGATCCTGGGTGAGTTTCGGATCTTTTTGAGGGTTCCCACCGGGAGGATAGAGTTGGCTCAACATTCCGACCTCGAAGATGCTAGGAGGTTCAGCGGCCGCGGACGTCTCTTTGGATGCGGAAAGAGCAGTCGGATTCGAATCTGAGCCGACATTCTTCTTGGCTTTTGGGTTGGTAGTTAGGGCAGGTTTGGAGGAGGCTGTGGAAGTCGGCTGGGCATCTTTGGGGCCAAAGAGCTCTAGGAAACTCTCGTCTACCGAGCTCTTGAGGTCGATCGGATTGCACCATTTCAGAACTGCCAGCTTTTTCAGTTCTCCCGTCGTCTTTCCTAGTGATGCCCATTTCGATTCTTTCGCCTTCTCTGAACTTGCCACGTACTTCATAACGATCGCTTTGACCTCTTCTTTAGTCATCGAAATGCCTGGATTAATTTGATGGATCAAAATCTCAATTCAAACGTTCAGGTAACCAAAAATGAGAGTTTTTTTTTCCTATCTTTCTGGAAAGCTGACCTACGCCACACTCTCGCTTGAAGAGCTCTTCATCGACCGTTCCATCTCCAACGGATAAAAATTCGAGTGCGGCTGTAAGAGCGTGAAGCGTAAGAATTAGAGCGGACACAAAAGAAGAGGGAAAAAAAGAAGCTTGATAGAAGATTGGACGTACCATCGACTTGGGCAGGGGAAGCCAGATTGCCATTCAGAATATGTTGGGCGCCGATCTGTTTCCTTTCAGTTGATTTATCCTTAAGCTTGGAGACGACGACGGTGGACCATCTGAGCAACAGGCTGGCTTTTGACTTGTCGATCGGAGTGGAGGCTGTGGAGGCTGTGGGTGACTCGATGAAACTGATGTATTGGGTGGCCAGTGGTACGTTCCTGGCGGTGTCTAGTGCTTGCTTCTCGAGTAATCCCAAGTCCTGGAGCTTCTTGGCCAGTCCTTCTATCGTGCTTTTGTCCATGCTTGGTGTGATCTCGTGTTGACTGTTGTGGTGGGTGGGATGTTCTTGGCGAACTAGAGAGTTGCTTGATTGCAAGTTTGCAGGAAGGTGTGCACCTGCTGCTTACGTAATCCCTCGACCATCCATCTTAAGGGCGCGTACCATAGCTGCCCGCGGGCTGCCAATTTCCAATTTTTTTGGCAGTAATCGATTTTGACCAAAAACGTGTACCACAAGGGTCAGTTTTTATGACAACTGATCTAATCGTTTTCTCACGTTTGCTGCTGTTTGAGGAAACGGCCTTACCCCCGTTTGGGGAAACGCTTCATCTGGCATTCTGCAGCATTTTCTTGTCACCAAAGCCCAATCATCATATGTACACAATCGCTCCGACCCTTCTTCAGTTATCACCGCCTGCTCGCTCCACAGTCCCCCTGATTAGACTTGCAACCAATCAGCTTCACAACCAATCGGCTTCACAGGCCTCAAACGAGAAAGCATCATCGACTGCAAACACCTCAACAATGTGTCCTCATCTGTCGTTTTATTTTCAAAGGACTTGCTGAGTCGATCAAACATTCTAGAAATGGTATGATTGATAGATCGATCAATCAATAGAATTGATGCAAAAAAGACCAATGGGAAGAAAGAAAGCAAAGTACGATCGATTGGTGGGAAGAATGCAAATATGTGATGCATGGAGATGTTGTAGTGAGTAGCTTTGATGATGAGTAATTGGGATGTGCTGAGGGATAGGTGTGATGGAGATGAGGTGCCTTGGTGAAAAACTGTGTGTGTGGTACACGTTTTTGGATAAGGCCGTTTCTCAACCTGTTTAAAAAAAAGCGCAGAAAAAAAAACGGTCGGGAATTGATTTTCAAATTGGGATGCGCTGTGGTACGCGCCCTAACTTGCTCTAACTTATAAACAGATCATTTATGTTAACACAGCTTCCCTGCAACTCCCAGACTCAAACCCAATTTGCATCTGGATGCCAGGCAACCAACCAACAGATCCATGAAATCTATTCCACTTTTACATTAAAACTCAGATCCAGAAGCCATATTGACTTATCACATTTTCACTGGTTTTCCATTGGATCTTTTCCTTGTCCTGTGTTTATTTATGTTAAAGCTTGATTGCAAAAAAAATTATCAAGGTCTTTTTAAGCCATATCTGCAGTCTTAGCTGGCTTCCTTGCAAATGCATATGTCTACAAAGTGGGAAAGAAGTGTAACTGGCCAATTAATATCTGAAATCCAAGTTCTTAGAATGCTTGAGGGAATAACACTTGCTTTTAGGATGCCTAACGCTTCATCACTGACACCACAGCAAGTCTTACAGCCAAACCCTGGTTCCAGACATTGTTTTTTTTTTGTTTGTCAGTTGAAATTTTTTACATCACAAGAAAATTGAACAGTTAGTACACAACCCAAGCTCAGATGGTCAGAATTATCTGTTGCAAATGATGGACAAATATTCACATTCATGAGTATGTGTTTTTGCCTTTCTGTCAGTTGTCGTCACTGCTTGATACACGGACAAAAGTATGAACACCATGCACATGATATTGAAAAGTTTTGAGCTTTGACCAAGCTCAATAGGCCGGTTCATGTCTGAAGTTCAAGGCAATTTTTAGCACATTTGTAGATAAAATTTTATGAATTTTGTCAAATCTCATGAATCATCAGGTTTGGATGAATTTGAGATTTTTGAGAAATTTGTAAAATTTTAATGATAAATTTCATCAAATTTACCTCAAAGCTCAGACATGAACTGTCCTAATGGAGGACTTCCCATCACCACTTAGAGCGCTTTTTGAGAGTCTTAAATTAACACTCCAAACATAATTTTAACCATCTCATGCTCTACATGAGACTTGATGAAAATATGTATTTTTTGGCCAAAAAGTAAGATCTATGTAGGGGGTGTGAAGTGGATTCTGGGAGGGTTTGAGGTCATCCGTTGCTGCAATTGAAATCAATGAAAATGCTTGCTTCACATAACAGCATTATTGGTTTTACAGAAAACGTAATCTTGGAAACATTATGAATAATGGAAGAGGAAATCGGAAATCGGCGAGGCTCTAGATACAGAGCAAGTAGTTCTAAAGTTATTGGAGAAGTGAGCAGACCTGACTTACACAGTTCAATGATACTGCCGGAAACAACGGAGCTGGTGATGGATTGTTCTCCCAAACATGATCGATTGGTGTCTCTGGATGACTCAAGTCGAGCTGTCGTCCGGAAGCACCAGGACGACCGGCTTGATTTTGTTGATTAGCAAAGGCCCCGCTGGGGCGTTATAAGTGATCGAGACAGCCCGAACCATAGGAGAAGGTCCGTCTGCAGGCCTTTCAAGACACTGTCCAAGAGCACACATCATGAAGAGTTTGGCTCTCTTTGACAACCGATTCGATTTGGATCGTCCCGACTCCAAGAAGTCACATCGAATAATGGCTAGTTGTCACGATGTACATAGTGATCGGACGCTAAAGGCTGAACGCACCCGCTGGCCATGAATGACATGACACGCTGATGTTGCAGAATCCCGGCCTCCTGCAGGAGGGTTGTTCAAGTTGAAGGAAACACACTGCGTGCTTGTAAGTTGCGCAGTAGAGCAGTGCGATATAAGCTCTTGTCCAACGATTTCAGTCTTCCAAGTCATAGCAAAAGTCGATCGACTGGACGCAAGATAAAATAGAACAGCTTCTGCTCGAGCTGGTCCAGATTTGCACAGTTTTAGAGGACCATGACGATGGTCAACCTGATGATGACTTGTGACAACTTGATTGATACTTGTTATAAAACATCAGTGAGAATAAACAAATTGGTTCGAACATGTTATGGAAGTCTGGATACATTGAGAAGTTCATGAGTTGACTATATAAAAGGTCATTAACCGAATATATATATATATATGAAAACACTTTTTGGATTGATTTTTGCAACTTATAAGTTATTGGTCATTACGAAACGGTAACGAGCTAATCCCAAACGCCCCCAAAAAAGGTCAACAAAGTATTCGCGTTGTAGGGCGGTTCTAAGGGGGGGAAGGGGCTTACCTTTGCCAGCATCCATGTCCTTGAGTTTCTGACTGATCTCGGCCATCGGATGGGACGAGGTCCAGGACTTGACGTCGTGTTTGACGGCCACCTCGAGCATCTCCTTGATCATCGCCGGCGGGCCAATCAAGCTGCCGCCGAAACTGATCCCCTTTCCGACTAATGCATGGCCATAGAACGCCGGAATCCTTGATGAGGAAACAAAAACAATGTTAAAGTCAGAAAACAACTGCCCAGGTACAAGGCTCCAAATTAAGAGAAAAAACCCAAATGTACTTTTCTTCAGGTAAACCGACAATAGTCAATCGACCCTGCGGCTTGAGCAGCGGAAAGAAGAGCGTATCGACGGGCAGATTGTGTTGGTTGCTCGTACAGACGATGAGGTCGAACGAGTTGGCCCATTTCTGGGAGGTCTCTTTCTCGTCCTTGGAGATGATGAAGTTCTCGGGCTTGACGCCCAGTTTCTCGGCATCCTCTTTCTTGGAATCCGAGTGGCTTATCGCATAGACATCGGCTCCCAAGGCTTTTGCCCACTATGTCAGTAGTCGTTTATTAGTGTCAATGCTTTGTGACTGGTTGTGTCGGTCGGTCTCATGAGACTCTTACCTGGATGCCTAAATGGCCTAACCCGCCAATGCCGACAATGGCCACCTTCTTGCCCGGCCCAGCACCGCCGCTTTTGACCGGATTGTAAGTCGTGATTCCTGCGGTTTTCATGCTCTATGGTCAGCCCATTTTGGAAGCGCTAATGATCAGCTGATGATCAGTCGATCGGGGCGCTAGCTTACCGGCACACATCATCGGCGCCGCAGTCTCGGACGAAAGCGCTTTCGGAATCTCGATCGCAAATTTGCCTGTTTATGTATTCATCCGTTCCGAAAAGGTCAGTTCCACTGGCCAGTATAAAGAAGCACTGGCTGCATCCATCGTCGAAAAGTAAATCCGCTTGGTTTGTAAACTCTGACCTTGGACGCGCACATAATCCGCATATCCACCCTGCAAGCCAAGAACGGATTCCAAAGTAAGACAAGAGGAAAGCATTATTATCTTGGGAAACATGAATGAATGGGATGGAGAAAGCCAACTTGGGCCACCGATCCGTCGGCCCATTTGCCCTGATAAGTGCCGATCATGCCCTTCTGGCAGTACGTCTCCAAGTCCGATTTGCAATTCTCACATGAGCCACTGAAAAAATCAACGGTCCAAATAAGGTTGAACGTGTAGAACGTTTAGTCGATGATGTTAAGGCTATGACTACTCGAGTCAAGACGGATGGTGTAGGAAGACTTACCAGGAGCCGGCTTGGGCTCCAACGCCGACGCGTGAGCCGACCTTGTGGCCACTCTCTTTGCCCGCCTGGACGATCTCGCCGACGATCTCGTGGCCACAGATGGCAGGATAATGGGTCGGGCTGGGCCATCCATTCCTGCACATTCACACACAAGTGAAGAACCCACTCGCTCAGATCATCCGAACAATCCTCTCGGATAGGGGGCAGATGCATTAAGACTGAACAGGAGAGACTGACTGGAGGGTGTGTAGACAAGAGCCGCAGATACTGCAATGGGTGATCTTGATGTCCACTAAGCCTTCGTGCCATTTCTGCGGCGTGTATTTGTACGGCTTCACGTCCAGTGCCTTGCCCGCCTTTTCATCGTGGGCAGCACTTCATGGGTCACATACAACAAAGAGTGGTTTGTAAGCGGTGGAGGGATGGGTCGATCAATGATCACTGTCAGCAGTCGATTCAGATTTTTTTTGGGGGGAGGGGGGACTTTTCACTTGATGACCACGGTAATTCATCCTTCGTAAGGTTGGTAATCTGGTGGTAGAGAAACAGACTCACTATCCAGAAAATTGTTCGGGCACTCCATTATTAGCTTGCGACATTCTCGAAACTGGGACGATTTATAGATGGACGACTATGGAAGATTTATTCTAAGGTTAAGTAGAGGAAGTTATCCTGATTGCAGAAGTCTAATGAAAACAAATACAAACAAAAAAACACAGGTGGGGAGACGAGCGATCTCCGAGTGGAGGTGGACATAATTTATACAACAGCGATGTATGAGCTGATCACGCTGTATGGGCATGTTCCTACAGGGGAAGAGACGGTGTTGTAGAAGTTGTGGAGGCAGTGGTGTGTAGACTTCAGGGGGACACTCGATTTGGCGATCCCCAAAGAGGCTGTTGACCGCTCGACGAGGTGTGTGTGTGATCGTGAGCCAGGGTGGGCGTGGATCAGATCGGCACGGACATTCCTGAGGCTTGGAGTAAGCCGGAGGGGGAAGCTGATGGTTGGATTTGGCAGTGCAACGGCCGACGACGAGGCCAGTGCTCCAGCCTATAACAAGCCTGTGCGACCGTCAATCACACTGTCAGTCGCCCATCTGATCTCCGTCTCTCTTAGTCCTCTGAAGCGCGGTGTCCCCTACTAGCTTGAATGCAGATCAGTGCCTCCATTTATCCATCGTTTGAGGACCATCAATCTCCCGGCTTTTCTTCTTTGGTATTTGGGTTTTTTTTTTTCGGAGCAGCTCTGGAATGTTGATCGAGGAATGCTTTCTTTTTTGGTCACATTACAATCGATCCGATTGATGATCGAGCTTATAATAACAAGTATGCACCATATTATTGTTTGAGTTAGCCTGCTCCAGTTGGAGCAGGAGGATTGTGCCAGGGATGCATGCAGTCCTCTTTCAGGCGCCCCGTCCATTCCCAATCTTCGCCCTCCACAAACCACATTAAAGGCTGGGTAAACTAAAAACAAGCCTGCAGCAAAGACTCATCTTATTCGCCCAGGTTTCCTGTGCTTGATCTTGTAAGCAGATCGTCCTCTGACTCTCTACAGCTGATCAGACACTCTCCTGTCCCAGTTCGCTGGGATTATTGACCTTGTATCATCATTTTATAAGACAGCTGGTTTTTTTTGCTGGGCTCTGAGCTTTGACCACAGTATACGAGCAAACTTGCTACGATAAGCAAAATCAGATTGGAATGGGGTCGGCAAATGATAACAGAGTTCTTCTTATCTGGGAACTCCAGCATCAGCTGTGTTCAGAAAAAACCATCACAAAGTCAAGCCATGTCTTATACATAAACACCTGCCAGGGTCCATAAGGAAATGGAATTTATGTTGGAAAACAAAAATCAATTTCATCCACTTCCGAGGTGCACCAAACAGCCACATCGTTATTGATATGGATTTTCAGGCTGCGTCATCTGCACAGCCTGAAAGAATCAAACCTAAATTCTGATTTGACGATTTTTGATGACGGTCTACGACGATTGTGGACGGCCAAACGAAGCCTAACTTATCACAAGTCCCATCGCTTCGGAGGGCAAGCGGCTAGGCCTAGAGCGCCCGGGCTGCGCGGGCGCCCTCCGAAGGAGGGACTTGTGAATTATCCCTGCAATTTGACTGTATCGGTTTGACCCATTTGGCTGGAGTGTTTCTTCAAAGTCATGTACAGCCTCTCTCGGGCCACCAATTGTCACACCAAAGAGGGAAATGATAGATATTTTTATGCTCTTTTGAATGGCACCGGTCTCATTGCCTCAAGGTCAAAATTGGCCTGATAATAATTTTTTGAAAACATAAAAATTTGAAGAAGCTGTCAAGATGGATAAACAGCATGTCCTCTTTGTCAATCCAACCATATCACAATCGCAAGACCGATTTTCAAATTTTAACAGTGAAAATCTTTATGCTTTTTCAGCCCCTGATGGGTCTGGCTGAGCGTCAAGTACACAAAACACAA